ATGTTGTGGGGTTGTTAACCAATGTCATAAAACAACATGTGTAGTACTGTTTCATGAGAAACTATTTGTTCTGTAAGCTTTCACCTGAAGTACAATAAAAATAAATTAAAAAAAATCATAAGTTATTGAAAAAAAAATTCACACACTTAATCTGTGAATTATAAAAGAAAATAAATATCTGATGTGGCCCTTTTTTATGTTATTATTATTCAAATAGACTTGATCATTTCCATTAGAATGATTATCACTATCAAAGAGGGTTCAGCTCAAGTAAAATCCATGAAAAGGACACCAGTCCCTATTTTTCCTCTACTTGTTCACAAGAGGGTGGGGGACTAGTTCCTGGCCTCTGCAGCAAACAGTACAAAGGAGAGAGGTTGTCAGGTAAGCAGTGAATGTCTGCATCTCAAGTTTGCAGTCTAAAATTCCTGTATGATGTGAATGTTGAGACTTTTAACTTAATGAAACTGAGAAGGTGAAATTTATTTCATGTGCTATGAAGAAACTCCTTGCAAATAAAACAATTAAGCTGGCGATGGTAAGAATGTATCTGAGTTCATAATGAAATGTTATTTCTAAGTACTGAATCCTACCTTATACAATAACCAAAACAACTATGTTTACTAGCATTTTATGAGAAGGCAGTGTTTTATGTATTCATCAGTCATATTTTAATTATGGGTCTCAGTGGTAATATAGTTTCAAAGCAAAAAGTAATTAAAATAAAAATTCTGAATCCATCATCATTTCTAGGTTCTGAAGGCAAAATACATACATGTGTATTCAGTTTAAAAGGGAATAAGTCAATGATTATTATGGGCATGTTACATTTCTATAGGGGAAAACAGAACCAAACCCACTGTTGTTGAGTCGATTCCAATTCATAAGTGACCCTACAGGACAGAGTAGAACTGCCCTGTAGGGTTTTTAAGGCTGTAAATCTTCACAAAAGCAGACTGCCACATCTTTCTCCCGTGCAGTGGCTGGTGGGTTTGAACTGCCAATCTTTCGGTTCACAGTAGAGCACTTAACCACTGTGTCACCTGGGCTTCTTTTACGTTTCTATAGAAGGGTAGCTTATTTTTTCAGATTAATGGGAAAGCATTTACAACATGATGCTATTACAATTCCTTCTACTGAAAAATGGGGGGAAAATTAGAAATTACACATAGAGAAACAACTTCATGATCAGCTACATAACTATCAAATTAACTAACTGGGTATTACTAGAAATAGTTATATAGCAAAGTATCTTCCTGACTTCTAAGCCTTAGAAGGGAATATTAAAATTGCATTTTGAAATATCTCCATCATATTGAGTCATCCTATTTTTTTAAAATAATATTATAACTTAGACTTATAAGAAGATAAGAACCCAAGTTACTTCTATAGTCAAACACCCAACTTTTAATGATAACATACAAGTTACTCAAAAGTGAATTATCAGGCATTCCAGGCACTGCAACTTCATGGCATGTTATACTATTGTCATCCAAATAAGTTCTGCTCTGAATAGATGAAACAAGATACATATTGATTTTTTTTTAAATTCATTATCATTAATTTCTATAAGGGATTTATGCATTTATGTTTCATGAGCAAATGTGCTAACCATAAATTGTCCTTCCTGTCTGAACACCTGAAAGTGAGCATTATTTTGCAAATTTAGATATTTACATTCTGACATTAAATGCCTTGATAAATAAAAATTAAAAATATTAAAAAAATAAAATTACAAACTAAGTAAAACTGAATATATACCTACATAAATATGGGGTTAGCTCCTATTAAACTGTGTCCCACTCAGTGGCTCACCAGCTGATGCCTCCATGGTATTCTGAACAGAGTTTTTTTGGATGTACTATGTTTGCATATGCTGTAGGCTCCTTTTACTGAAAAAATTAATAATTAATTTTAGTGCTGAAATAAACCAAAACTTCACCTGTGTCTCTTACCTTTGCCATGGCTTCTCCCATCCTCCAAAAGGGGCACTACAATAGTGTTGTTCACATTTCCAGGTGACCGTACAGCTGTGTAGACAACAGGCACCGACTGGACCACCACAGGGATGCGGTGAACGTGACTCAGTTTGTTAGACTGTAAGTTCATGGGGCTTGAAGGTGGTACAGGATGGATAATGTGCAAAAACTGCTGGCCTCCTACACCAGACGCAGAGGCAACAAGGGGCCCTGGCGTTAATACTGTTGACGAAGATGATGCTGAAGATACTGATGTTATAACAGTTGGGGATGAGGCTGGACGACTAGAAGACGATGAAGAGGTTGAAGTAGAAGAAGGTGAGGAGGCAGACGCTGTCATGGAAACTGGGGAGGATGAAACGGCTGTAGGGGATATCCTGGCTTTGTTTATTGACAAGTCCACTGGCTCAGTTTGTGTTTGGAAGTGATCTACAGATAACGAGTCCTCTGGGGGCTCCCCTTTCACATTATTTAGCAACAGGGGAACAGCTTCCATATCGGGATAGTTGTGGACGTCTGGAGACTGCGTGGAGAAAAATAAAACACATGTTTATCTTTATTAATCATGCATTTAAATAGACGGCTGATTTATTAACTTGAATCTTTTAAAAATTTTCACTGATTACTATGGAACTAATGTTTATTCACCAAATATTTGAGGGATTGCTCTGTGACACTTACCAAGATTAAAATTGCAAAAATACATAAGAGAGAGTAAAAGAAGCCCTCTGCCATAAAGACATTTTCGTTCATGTAGGAGAGACAGACACAATCATTAAAATACACTCAAATAAGTGCTCTATGGAGGAGAAAAAGGGGCCATAGGAGCCTAAAAAAGAACAGCAATTTTGCAGAAAATTTTCTAAAAGACAAATTAAAAAAGCAAAGTATAATATACTTAAAACTGTATCAATACTACCTATTTAATTAGAAAACATTTTGTTAGTATTTTGAACAATCACTGCATTTATGAGTTTCAGTTTCCTCAATTATAAACTAATGAAGAGTTTTGATTAGATAATCTTAAGTATCCTCTCCAGCCTAAAATTCTAGAATTTCAAGATTCTAACTTTACCCAATGCTGTTATAATCTAGAGACAAAATATTACATGGCAACAATACTGAGAAAACTTGAAAGACTTTTCCACTTTCATATTTAGTGCAAAAACTACTGTACCACATTCATCAGGAGTATTAAAAAATGGGTACAAAATTCTCTAACCTCCCACATCTGATCACTAAATTATTAAATACAAATCATTTCTAACAATTAGCTTATAACTTACTCTCAGAATATGACAAAATGTTTCTCAAAACAATGCACAGAGCAATTACAACTTACATTTTAGGAAATAACAATAACAATTTTAAGAACAAATTATCTTGGAAATTTTAAATTGTCTCTGACTGTTATTTTAATTTAAAATAACGACCATAATTTTGTCCAACTTTAGTTTGATTTTTTAACTTTTAACAAGCAAAATTTAATAGTAATAAAGATTTTACCCAGACTAACGTGCTCAGCATATTATTATTTTACATGAAATAAATTTATTTATACACTTATTCACTCATAAATTCATCAAATATTTATTGAATGTCTACTTTTGAGGCCCAAATGGCTCAAGAGTTCTTTCTATTGGTTAATGTGTATTAATGTAGCCTTAACAGGGAGAATTAGACTAAAACAGACTATTTTGATTACATCTAATTTGACCAGACTAACATAGACATTATTGCTTTATTATATAAGACCACAATTTTTTTTGTTTTATTATAGTATTAGAACAACAATACCTAAAATTATATTAAATTGGTTCATTTCATTCTATGTTGAATAAAGGATTTAGCTTACTACAACCCCCCAACCCTGCCCAAAGCTTGAGCATACACTTAAAGGAACAAAACAGGTTTCTTAAAGCTTTTCTTTATAGAAAATAATTATACCTCCATTCAGCATATACAATAGGCAGTAGTGCAAGGGCATTTTATTCAGCAACAATAAGAAAAGAAAAAATGTTAAGTCAACAATGGTGCCAGATCAACTAAAAAGGGAAACGGATTGATGATTTATTGTTTTTTCCTTCTTAACTAACATGGTTACTTCCACAAACACATGTGAATTAGAAAAAAATAAAAAAGAACCATCCAAAGTATCCACTGCATAAAATTCTAAACAAAAAGATTTTTGTTTTATGTACTGAAACTGAGAAAAATTTGTTTTTTATCTTCTCACAAACACTAGGGAAACAGAAGGAAAAAACCACCACAAATTATATGACTTATAAAAAGTGATTAACATTCTCTAGTCTTCTAACTAAACCAATATGTCGATTTTTTCTCAGCTTTATAGCTTAATTTCTTTGCAGAATAATATATTTTTTATTAATACATTATACACATACAGAAATTCTTTGCTGAAGTTGCTTTCATGAAAGATACCAACTGGTTTGTCATTAAAAATATAAAATACATCATTAAGCATATATCATTAAACACCATTGGTTTACTTGACTTTAACATTGCTTGAATACTGTCTTCTTTTTTCCTGTGTTAGAAATACTCAAAATTCTTAACTTGGAAACAGTGATTATTTCCAACTTAAATTTTTCTCCTCCTAACTATCTACTTAGACACAAGCTTCCTAGATATGTTTGCAAACCAAGGGCTGAGGTGTAATTTATCAATGCAGAAGCATTCCATACAGCAGGAGAAAGACTACTTTAACAGATTATGACAATACAGGAGTTGGTAAATAAGAAGTTTATTTGTAAAAACGTTGCATCTAAGGCATTAAGTTTCACAGAGCTTTACAAACTGCCTAGACTTCTCTACATTATAAATAAGAGTCCATCTTTGGTAGATATCTGTTTAATCCTTTACTGAGGAAAATATTCACTCCTTAAGCTGTTTTACAACAGGAGATGAGGAATGTTCCTCGTACAATTCTGCTGTATATACCAGAAAGCCATGAATACCAAATATTAAGAACCCCGAGGTGCTTTGAAATAGTTGAGACTTGCATAGCTTTTGCAAGAGCTCTATCCAAAATATAGAAAACGTTCATAAAAATAAGGAAGGATAATTCAAACCTTTAGACCAAAGACATCTTATTTGGAACCTTGGACAGATTATGCATGAATTTATAAGAACAAACATCAGAGAAACACGTTAGCTCCTTTTTCATAGGGAGCAGCTGAAATGCAGCCAGTGTGTTAAAAAAAAATGCTTCCTCAGTATAAAAGGGACAAAATTTTTTATTGCACAATTCATCTGTTTACAGTGTTGACATAATATCATACCTTATATTGTCTTATACTGTGATAATGTGGTAGGTAAACTTGTCTATAATTCCAGCTTCAGGCTGCACATACATATTTGTAAAGCCAGCAACACTGCATAAATATGACTTCAGAACAGCTAAGGTATACTCTTGCTCCTTCTTTCACAGAAGAGAAAAGAGATGAATGGCTGAATGCTGAAATCATCATTAGGAATTCATTTCATTACTTTTAGAAAGTGGAAGGTCAAAAGGTATTGGTTCTGACATTTGAATCCATCAATGTGAGCTGTAGTGAGGGGAACAGAGGAGTCAGCCAAGAGAAAGAACAAAAACAGAAGAGAAAACACTGGTGAGAAAACACCAAAAGGGAAATATGTACAAAGAACAGTTCGAAGGGAAGTATGTACAAAGAACAGCTTGACATTAAATGAAAGGGCTACACATTTTACAGAACATGAGAGAAGACGAGGGTGCGCCACCCAAGGAATAGCCGCTAAGGAGTAGGGACAATGAAATACCAAAAATAATAAACAAAGGTTGTAAGTTTTAAGTACCCTGAGAAAGAGGAACTACTGTGAAAGGAACAAAAAAAGGATAGGATTCCATACTCAAATTTTATCCTCAGTTACTCATTACTCAACTCCTGATACAGCATTGATGGACTACCCATAACAGTGTGAACTTTTGTTCCCTGTTTGTTTTTAATAAGAACCCATCAAGCTTTTTGCCTCAAGGGGTGACTTTAGCAGATTCTTTTGCTGTTGAGTCCCTGGTGTGTAAAGATCAAACATACCCTATACTCATATTATCAAATGAAAACACTACAGATTCTAATGCTGTGAAGACTGTATGGGAATCCTAAATCTTTGTAAAGTGGGATAAGAGTAATTAATTATTGTTTCTAAAAGATTAAATATCCTTTGAAAGAATCCACAATAAAGCTGAATTTTTAAAATAATTTTTTACAATTATATTTTTATATGTGTTAAGAATTGTATAAATACACACAGAAGCCCAACCAAGTAAATGTAACAATATATAAACTTCATAAAAACATCAATTTTTCCAAAAGTCTGAAAACACTGGCTCATAATAATCCACTGAAAAAACATTGCACATAATATTCTAGTGAATATGTTCTTTTTAATCATCTGTACATTAAATTTTTGCTTTTCTAATCAGATAATATTTTCTTGAATGATCATTTAAAAATGTATCTTCAGCTTTAGGCAATTTGTTAAATAAATGTAAAAATGAATCTAAAACTTCCTATGTGTTAGTTCTTAAGACTATTGTTAGCTACCATGGAGTGGACTCCCTGTGTACAGACTAGAACTGCTCCATAATGTTTCCTTGGCTGTAATCTTTACAGCAGCAGATCGCCAGGCCTCTCTTCCGAGGTGCCTCTGGGTAGGTTTGAACCACCAACCTTTCAGCTAGTAGTTGAGTGCGTAACCATTTGTGCCACCCAGGGACCTTAGTTCTCAAACTACCAAATGTGTTTTCTATAGTCAGTCATTATCGTCAGCTGAACCTTATTATGCTCTATCAGTGGACAAACGGCATTTTTAATACTAGCTGTGTATTTCAATCATGTGGTATTATTAAAAAGGAAAAAAAATTATGTCCGGACAAGACCCCAGAGAAATCAGTCAGTATTTTTGGAAAGCCCCCCAGAGATTCTTACGTATAGCCAGAGTTGAGGATCATTTGCCTAATATTCTGTTAAAATAAGCTATCCAAGATTTATATGCAGCCATAGTTTGTTCTTTAGTGGCCCAAGGCATATTGAAAGATGTGGCAATTGCACATACACTGAATGGCCCAACTAGCCATCCATCTAACTACCTATCCAATCATGCATCCATCCATCCATCTACCCACCCACCCATCCATCCATCCAACATTTAAATTAATTACATTTAAAATATGACTTTCACAATTTTTTTTTTTTAGAAATAATCTCATGGGAGTTTTTAGAAAAGATTAAAAAGTGATTTTGCTAAAACTACACAGCTCATGGCTTAACTATTTACAAGAATCTTCTTATATACTCTGTTGCATGCCCTGGTGGCTTAGTGGTTAAGAATTTGGCTGCTAACCAAAAGGTCAGCCGTCTGAATCCACAAGCCGCTCCTTGGAAACCCTGTGGGGCAGTTCTACTCTGTCCTATAGGGTCACTACAATGGACTTTGTATGGTATTACAGAAATAAAATTTAAATTGGACACAAAAGACTTA